CACGAGTTTCTTAACAAGCCGAACACGAACTGTTCGCTAACAAGCAGCCGTTTTGACAGCCCAATTGACAGCTTCTTCTCCGCTGATGCGATGGTGACCTCAGCGCCACCGAAGCGAGGATGGTGAGATTAACATCAATTAAAAATCGGGCATCGCTTCAATGCTTTTGACCAAATATAGCCTTCTCACGCCGGCAACCTCGAGCTCTTTCTGCTCTGTTTTTTTCTATAAATTGCCCTAATTCACTTGATCCGAAGCAAGAATTAGAAGCTCCCCGATCTCGTTCAATGGCGGCGAAGATCTACATAGTGTAAGCTTCACCTTCAGAATTCATTTTTCACCAACTTCAAATTTGTTGATGGAAGTTAGATAATCAATTTTGTGTTTCTTAATCCCTGTTCTGTTTTTATTGCTTGATGATGCCGTGAATCTGTAGTTGTGCTTTCTGCAAATAATCTGTTTGTCGTTTTGCGTCAACGGAAGTTGCTGTTTTCTGTTTCTTTGCTACGGTCGTTCTTTTGACCTCTCAACGTTTGATCCAATTTTTACTTTACTAATTTGTTTCTTCATTAGTTTTCTGTGTTATTAACTATGCAAACGATTGTAATTGCTTTACAAGTTCTTAAAGATTCTTTGACATGAAGAGTTGTAGAGCATAACAAAAATAGAACTTTTAAATGTTTTATATTTGTTTTTGAGCTAAAAATGATTTTTTTTTTTGTCATCTGATTATTTTCATATCTGTGGTATCATTGAGTTGTGATAACTTTGCTTCAGGTATTATTCTATGTATGGACATGTTGAGAAGCTTGCTCAGGAGATATTAAAGGGCGCCTCATCAGTTGAAGGAGTGGAGGTCAAGTTGTGGCAGGTTAGTCCTTGTTATGTGGCATCGAGTTTTTATTTTAAATGATGGTCTAATTTGAGTTTTGAGATGACATCATGATGATTTTAAAGATTGCCATCTATCTTAATTGTTAAAAACTACAAACAGCTAAACTTCAATAATTTTCATTTTATATTTAAGGTGGGATTTAATTTAAATATAGACAAATGATCAGAAAGAGCAACATCAATCTTATAGATTTTTAAGACTCATTTTAGTTCTATTTTGACCTAAATTGGTGCCTCGGTAGATTTAAGGAAAGGTGAGCATTTGGTCAGTTTGGATGGACTTATTTTCAAATTGGTTAAACCGATTCCAACTTAAATCTGAAATATGAAAAACCGAATCAATCAAA